AAAAAGTTGGTTTTGTTCGTGTAGTGTTATTTGTGTAAAATTAAAATATAATAATAATTATATTAATTTGTGCGTCGGTTGGTTATGTGTTGGTGTTAAAATTAACTGTTCTTCCTCTCTTGCTCTCAAAACGTTCGGTGCAGTAGCGCGCGCTCTCTGTTTAGCTGTCGCTGCAACAGTATTTCGCTCCTCTTTCCGTTAATTCTTTTTCCGATCCCGCTCTAAGCATTGCTTTAAAAACTTTTTGGGCATACTAGTCTGATTGCCATTTGCTTTGAAAAAATAATTGTTATTGATTATTAATTTATATATTTAATATAACTATGGAATACGGTGTTGTCGGTTCCGCTAAAACTTGCAAGAAGCAGATCTCCCATGACCAGCCGAGCAGCCCTTGCTGGCTCTTCAATAACGCAGTGCACGAAAAATGTATTGGGTTCTCTGGATTCGCATTACAGTTGCGAGGCATGTCGGTCTGTCGAGAATGATAAGGTTACGTTTATGAGGCAGACGCGAAAGGGCTTTAAGGAGCTCATCGTGGGCTTTAAAAAGCAGTACGATCGGCTTCCAGCCGATTCCGCGGTTTTAAACTGCTGAATGAGTCCCCTAGGCGCAAAAAAATCCTCGGAATCTGCAAGTGCCTGTCCCTCGACCGCTCGCTGCTGATCACCTGTCTCCGTCTACTCCGATAGTGCAGCAGCTAATTTCGTTTGCCACTCCAAGGACAACGACAGCTGCTGGTGATCCAGTTTCGGCTACCGAATCGATCATCTCGGAAAAGAGTCATCCAGTTAGAACTGTAACGTCCGTTTGTGTCGAGTCCGCTCCAAAGTGTGACTTTGTATCCATCTATTTCGATCCCGGCAGCCAATAACGTGCCGGACCACCGGATATTGCCGTCACAGTTTCCAGATCTGTGGTGCCAAAACCACCAAAGCGGCAGGGTATATTGTATTTGTGCGGAAAAAATGTAACACACAGAAGGAGCGTTTCCGACCCCACACAGTATATATATTCTTGATCAGTATCAATAGCCGAGTCTGGTTCTCAGAGACTATAAAAGCTAGAGCCACCCAATTTTTCATCCAGATGGCCCTATGCTTTCACTGCTTCAAGTGTATTTCAAAATTTCGAAAATATGCGGGAGTCACAGTTTGAAGATAAAAAGAATGAACATATCTTTAAGATCACCGACTTGGAATACGGTTGGATCATTATTATAGCCGGAATGAAGCAATTAATTTTCAGTGCCAGCGTCCACCCCATCCATCAGTTTTTTTTTTTTTGCAGATTCTCACATTCACACTCTGCTTCGTGTAGTGTGCGGCACTAGGAAAGAGGGCCGAGCTAAAAGAGCGTGTTGGCGTGAGAAGTGATGCAGATGTAGATTACAGATGAAGAAAAAATTTAAATTTAAAAAAACCCGCTAAGGTACAGATGATGTAGTACTAAGTACCGGGTATAAAAGTTGTGACGAGTAATAAGCGATTCACACGTCCCTTCTCGTTTACTATGTGCTTGATACAATTTTTGACTCGTGTGTTCAACCCTCGTGTCCGATTAAATCTGGGAAGCATCCTTAATGCACCAAAGAGTTATTCAGTCTATGGAACCTATAATCAAGACTTTTTAAAAAATCACAAGAAGTTATTTTTCTTCTCTTTCTAGTTACTTAATAGGTTGGTCAAATTTCACTGTTCTTAATGCTCAATGCAATATCAACTACCTACTTCGATGCAGGATACGTTTTTCACAGGACCCAAAACAGTTTTACAGCTGTGTAAAAGTAAGCGTAGAACGTCCGCACATCCATCCTCAATATCATATCCTTAATACGTCGACAAACAATGATCAGGCCGATCTTTTTGAAAAATTATTTCAAACAACTTATCCCCAGGAAAGCTACCCTGGTCATGTGTATCCATACAGCCCTTTGTCAAATGAAAGCTCCCTGCCTCATGATCTTTGACTCGTTAAGCGGGCATGTTCACCGGGCTCTGACGGAGTTCCCGGCTATGTACTCAGGTACTGTGCTGAGTCTCTGCAAAGTGGACCCTTCCTTAAACTATTCACTCAATCCAGCCATTCTTCTCAGCATTCGATTCTGTAAACCATTCTCTTTTTTCACAAAAGCTCGACCTCCTAAAGTTTCCGCCCAATCTTTTGAGATGGATTTCTAGCTACCTGTGTTCTAGGTCTCAAAGAGTCCTGTTCAAAGACTCTGTATCTTTACCTGTTATATTTACTTCTAAAGTACCACAGGGTAGCCATTTAGGCCCCCTACTTTTCACTCTCTTTATAGGACCTGCCTTCTGCGGATGATTTTAAGCTCGATGTCCAGTATAAGGACATTTAATTTCACTTTCGCTTGCAGTCAGATCTAAATAGCATTCAGTCATGGTGTTCTGTAAATATGGTATACCTTAATGCATCGAAATGCAAAAAAAAGGAGTTTTCATCGATCAAGCCCCTTACTGGCTCATTACATCCTCTGCGGTAGTTCTCTTGAGAGAACTGCATTGGTTGATGATCTTGTTGTTAAACTGGACCCCAAGTTAAAGTTTCTGAACACATTTCTATCATGGTAAACAAAGCCATGGGCGTGCTTGGGTTAATAAAAAGGTAGTCAAAGGAATTTGATAACCCCTATATAACGAAGACTCTCTATATCTCGTTTGTTCGTCCGATTTTAGAATACGGCTCATGTGTATGGTGAAGATCAGTGCAGAAAAACTGTTTGCGTTTTGCCCTGCGTGGCCTCAACTAGGATGCAACAGTGAGACTGCCATCCAATCGTTGTAGATTACTTCTAATAAGCCTTCCATCCTTAGTTAGACGTACAAAAATGCTTGGTGTCATTTTTATGCACAACTTGATCAAGTTTTAGTTGTGTTTTGATTTAATTTTCCTCGAATACTAGTTAGCCTAATACCTATCTTTCCTGCATGTTCAAATTCGGAAAAAAACTACTAAAGTACAGATTTCCTACTGAGTTCCGGGTATATAATTTGTGACGATTAAGAAGCGTTTCACAGCTCCCTCCTCGTTTTAACTGAATCGGTTGTCAATGGTGCTGAATATAAAGAACTAGCAGCCAACGACAGAAGCAGAAACATGTACATGTACATGATTTTTTTTTTCCTTGAAAAATAGCGAAACCAATCAGAGTAGCCGCACAGAATAATTAAACAGAGAAAGAATAAGAATCCAACAAAACTTTTAAAGTTTTTAGCATAATTATTATTGATAGTAATTATATATAATATTTATTTTTAATAAATATAAATAATAAATTTTTTGTAGTAAAAAAATAAAACTCAAATATATTGATTACATTTTGATTACTTTATGATTATTATGATACGTTACATTATCATATTTTCGAGTTTTACATTTTATATTTTATCTACATCTACATCACTTCATACACCAACACGCTCTGCTAGCTCGCCCTCCCCCCGCAGAGCCGCGCACTGCTTGAATGCCAACGAGAAGGGACGTGTGAGACGCTTCTTACGCGTCATAACTTTTATACCCGGCACTCAGGACTACATCTAGATGTAGAAGACATCGCCAACCACTAGATATCGTTCACATTACAGAACACGTAGTAAGAGCCTACTAAATAAAATGCATCAAACAAATTGGATCAGTTAATATTTTTCAATTTATGAGATATTTAAAACAGCAATAAAATTGGTACATTCTTGGACCGATAGATTTCACAGCAAATTTTTCGAAACTGGCGCCATCTATGAAAATTTCTTTTACGCATCTTTGATGGTCACTCTTTTTCTAATACAGAGCGTTAAAAACCTAGTCTTGGTTAAAAGTCGGAAGAGTCAACGCCAGGGGGAGGGCAGAGGCAGGGGCCGAGTGAAGCAGAAGCAGAGTGTGAATCAGAGAATGTAAAAAGAGCAACAAAAGCTGCTGGACAGGGTGGGTTTAGTCACAGGAAATTATTTTCTCCATTGTGGCTATAATAAGGATCCGATCGGATCCCAATTTGGTGATCTGATAGATATGGCCATTCCCTACGGAATGGCGTTTTTAGTTTTCTTTTATCTTCAAAACTGTAGATTTGGGAGGTTTTCGCTCTTTTGCGGGGGCGGGGCAAATTTTTTAAATACACTGGTTTCAGTGTGAGCATACAGCAGTCCGGAGCCAAAATTTGGTGGCTCTAGCTCTTATAGTCTCTGAGAACTAGCCGACAAACAAGACGGACAGACGGACGGACGGACAGACGGACAGACAGACATGGCTCTATGGACTCGGCTATTGATGCTGATCAAGAATATATATACTTTATGGGACCGGAAACGCTTCCTTCTGTGCGTTACATACAACCGTTATTCGCACAAATACAATATACCCTATTTACTCTTCGAGTACCGGGTATAAAAATAGGCAACTACACATAAGAAAAGCTGCTGGACATGGTGGGGGAAGCCACTGCAAATATATTTCTTCATTCCGGTTATAATAATGATCTGAGCCGATTTTAGCATAATTTGGCGATCTGATAAGTATGGCCATTTTCCACGGAATTGAATATTTACTTATCTTTTATCTTCAAAATTAAGGATATAGTAGATTTTTGGCTTTTACTTTATAGGATCGGAATATTTCTAGGACAACAAATACAATATACTCTTTTTACCTTTCGAGTACCGTGTATAAATATATGACTACTTTTGGAGTCCAAATAACAAACTAGAAAAGTTATGAGACAGCAAAAGCTAATATTTTTAAAAAGCTTTAAGAGAATTCCCACAGCTTAATATAAAAGAATTATACAAATACATCGCTCACTCTTTTTTATAAGCCTAACATGGCATTAAGTAATACTACAATTTAGCACCACCTTAAGAACACCTGAATACGTTCAAGCGGGTGTGAGTGTGTATGTATAAAAAAGCCAAGTCGCATGCCCATGAATATATGTATTTGCATACATATGTACTCTTAACTTCCTAGATTTGAGTTGCCTCACGTTGATCTGATTTACGTACGTTCATACATACATGTATGCACATTCAAATAAGAATGATATATAACTTTGCGCTTTAACTTTAGACATTCAAATGTGAAAACTAAAGAAAGTGCTTCGAATAACAAGAACGTTAAAAATGCGCCAGAAACTTTGTCGCTGCGAGTCTATATAAAAACCTGGCATCAACAGATATCTGGTTTAGTCGAGAATATTGAGCTAATCAGTAATTTTTTAGGGCAACAAAATTGAGGAGGAAACAGTCATGTTTTTTTCGGTGTGCTATTTTATAATCGGAATTGGCTTTGTATCAATAGTGATTTCTTACGTATTAATAATTGTTAAGTGCAAGCAAAAAGCCACTGTTCGAATCGGGCTTTCCAATCCTGAAAAGGAAATTCGAAAGTTTGTTCAGGCTCCTGGTCCGCAACCATGGCCAATTATCGGGAACCTCGATCTATTAGGTCGATTTAAATGCAACCCTTTCGAGGGTCTTGGAGCATTAACACAACAATACGGTGATATATATTCATTGACTCTTGGTCACTCCAGATGCTTGGTAGTAAATAGCTTAGATTTAATTCGAGAAGTTCTTAATAAAAATGGTAAATTTATTGGTGGACGTCCGGATTTTATACGATATCATAAACTCTTTGGAGGCGACCGAAACAATTGTAAGTATACAAAAGTAAAAGTCTCTATAATTCCTTAGAGATTTTGTACATTAGCTTAAGCATTTTTAAGAGAGGCCAAAAAAGGTCGACTGTTCTTATGTACATACATATGTATGTATGTTTAAAGTCGTGACATTTAAATATTTGGGTGCAGTTATAAAAAAACTTGGTGAAGAAAGTTTCGCAACGCCTTGCCTTACCCGATATATTGACCGCTACCATACTGAGCGCTATTGATCCAATACATGTAGAACACCTTTGATATATCAAAGATATATATATATATCTTTGATATATCTCCTAGAAAATGTCATATTTTATATTCAGTTACAATTTTTAGTTGTATCCGCAAAAGGGCGAAACGGGGCCGGTCTTATGAGCAGTTTTCCTAAAGTAAGCACCTTGCCTAAAATCGAGTCCGGTAAGCGTTAATGGAGGTCTTAAACGGCCTCGTGGTCAGAACCGACTTATCCCAGTGCAACTCATGTGCATTTTTAAATGACCGATGATGGGACCGATGAGGACAGATATTAATGTTAGCATTAAAGGAAAATAGCTTAATTACCTGTACACAATACTTACCAATGGCGTCAGATGGAGAGTAAGAGGTGGACAATTTTCGACAATAGATAGATAGACGTTACCTTATTTATGAGTTTTGATCATTACAATGGTCGATTTCACAATTTGTTGCGATTTTAAGGGGAAACAGGGAGCTTTTTTCTCTGAGTATTTAATTAATATTTGACATTCATATTTTTTAAAGTCGATGTATTTACATACTGCTTACATATGTACATATATGTATGTACATATATGTGTGTGTATATATTGTAAAATTTATTTATTATCTTAATTTAACGTTTTATAGCACTCGCACTATGCGACTGGTCACACTTGCAACAAAAACGGAGAAACTTAGCTCGACGGCATTGTTCTCCGCGGGAATCGTCTCCATATTTTAATAAAATGTCTCAAATCGGCTGTAATGAGATCAACCACTTAATGCGTGAGCTAAATAAAGCCCAACCAGGAAAACCCTATGATATTAAAAAATTAGTTCTTGGAGCTAGCGCCAATATGTTTTGCGAATATATGTGCTCGATAAGGTTTGATTATAGTGACAAGGAATTTCGTCGAATAGTGAGATACTTTGACGAAATTTTTTGGGAAATTAACCAAGGATATTCGTTAGATTTCCTACCATGGATGCTACCGTTTTATAAGAAACATACCCAAAAAATCATGAAATGGTCTACAACAATACGTAAATTTATTTTGGATAGGGTTATTCATCAACGAGAGCAAATGCTCGATTTAGACGAACCAGAAAACGACTTTACAGATGCCTTGCTGAGAAGCCTTAAAGAAGACCTGGATGTATCACGTAACACGATTATATTTATGCTGGAAGATTTTATCGGTGGCCATTCGGCTGTCGGAAATCTGGTTATGTTAGCACTTGCTTACATAGCCAAAAATCCTACAATTGGACGTAGAATTCAACATGAAGCTGATATCGTCTCAAATAAAGGGAGTCGCTTAATAAACCTTCATGACATGGAAGCAATGCCCTATACAATGGCTACCATTTTTGAGGTCCTCCGATATTCCTCATCTCCCATTGTTCCCCATGTCGCAATGGAAGATACAGCTATTGCTGGATTTGGCGTCACTAAAGGAACAATCATTTTTATTAATAACTATATGCTAAACATGAGTGAAAAGTATTGGAACTCTCCCGATCATTTTGAACCAAAAAGATTTCTGGATGAAACTAATAAAAAGAACACCTGGAAAACTGTAAAATGTAATGACCATAGACGCAGTTCTGAGGCGTCTGACTCCGGCATAGAGTTCGAAAAAGAAATGGATGTGCACCCAATAACTATTGATAAGTTTTCTAGTACAAAAAACTATAAAAAATACAAAAAAATATCTACAGAGATGTGTGGATACCAATTGAAAAAAAATATTCCTCACTTCCTCCCTTTTAGTATAGGCAAGCGCACGTGCATAGGACAAAATCTGGTGCGGGGATTTGGGTTCGTTTTATTAGCAAATATAGTGCAGTCTTACAACGTTACCAGTGCTGATATATCCGAAATTAACATTAAGCAGGCCAGTGTGGCCTTGCCGGCCAACTGTTTTCCCCTAGTATTGTGGCCAAGAACATAATAGCATTGAAAAGACTCGTGCCCAACAGACATACATATATACATATCTAAATGTACCCGCTCACCTCTTACAGTAATACCGCTGGATTAGATCGTATGAATAACTCAAAAAATAGTCTAAAACTTTAGTCTAAGTAATCATCAGGCATAGTCCGCAAAATAATTGATGTAGAAGACTGAAAAATGTACTTAACTATTTATTAAATTATTAAACTTGCTAATAAAATTATCCATGTTTTTTATAATTATTCCAGATTTTTTGTTACTCTCATCCCGATTACTTGCTACACTACTCGACCCAATTTTTCGCTTCGAACCAAACTAACTTTTTTTAAAGATATGTGGCTTAGAAATGGTTGGATGGTAATCTTTTTATACCCGGTACTCGAAGAGTAAATAGGGTATATTGTATTTGTGGGGAAAATTGGATGTATGTAACGCACAGAAGGAAATGTTTCCGACCACATAAAGTTTACATATGTATGTATATATTCATGATCAGCATCAATAGCCGAGTCGATTGAGCCATGTCTGTCCGTCCTTACGAGCGCCTAGTGCTCAGAGATGGGGCAACCATGTTATGCTTTCAGACTCCCACAGTCACCATTTTGAAGATAAAAGAAAACCAAAAACGCCATTCCGTAGGGAATACCATATCTATCAGATCATGGGGATCCGATTGGATCATTATTATAGCCACAATGAAGAAATCAATTTGCAGGGCCTAAGTCCACCCCGTCCCGCAGCTTATATTTGTTTTGTGCACATTCTCTTATCCACACTCTTCTTCGTGTAGTGAGCGGTCTCTGCCCCTGCAGTGCCTCTGCAGACTGTGTCGCTAGGGGAGGGGGGCGATCTAAAAGAGCGTGTTGGCGTGAGAAGTGATGTAGATGTAGATGTTGATAAAAAATGTAGAACAAATTTAAAAAATATTAAATTTGAAAAAAAGGGTTAAGGTACAGATGTTGTACTGAGTACCGGGTATAAAAGTTGTGACGCGTAAGAAGCGTCTCACACGTCCCTTCTCGTTGCATATCCCCTCTTGTTCTTTTTTTTCGCCTGAATCGTTTCTGATTCGTGAATTTCTACCTTCCAAACACATGAAAGAAGAGTCATGTTGGCCTTCGGAAAAAACCGGAACGGTCGGGACGCTGTTCGGGTTACATTTATCTTTCTTGGTGGTAAAAGAACGCTTATTTCGGGGAATCGGTTCTACATAGTCTACCAGGGAGGTATGCAAGATCACATCTTTTCCTCAACTACTTCTAGACGGTCCTACTGGCTTCGTGACACTGTCACTATCTGCCTATATGGCCAAATACTGTCGCTGATATACGCCTTGAAGACAGCAAGCGATGCAATACTCGACCTCGGCTTTCAAAGTTAGCACTGAAACAGTTTCGTGGCAAATATTAATATCTGTAAATGTGTAGTGTGGTGCCGATCATCAATCCTTATTGCACACAATGGTGGATAAAGTGTAGCGTTACCATCACTCCCCAAGAATAATTTTCGACTTCCCAATCAGAATAACGCTTTCACTTCGCACGCACTCCATGCGACTGTTTGGGATAGAGTAATTATGGCTTTGCCGGTCGTAAACGTCCGAACCAAATCCGGAGAGTATGTTGTGGCCTGGGCACTACTTGGCCGTAAGTCACAAACAAACTTCATATGTAGCTGAATACCTGCACAGTGCTTACAGATCCGTTGGGAGCAATCGTGTATCAACTTTCTTGGTAAGGGCGAATCAAGTTTACAAGTCATTAAAGGTACACACTGTGGTCAAGACGTCAATCAATGGTAGTGTTAGTTCTTGGTTGATTTCCGGATTTTGAAGTCCATCTCGGTTATTACCAAGCTCAAGAAATTAACGTGAGTGACTGGCAATTCCCAAAGAACCTATCTCTTGCAGACCTATGTATATTTATACAAGCAACAGAGTATAGATTTCTTTATAGGTGGTCTTTTTTCAAACTCTTCTCAGTTGGTCAAATTAGAGAAGTTCCTGACTATCAAACTTTGTCTGGAAGATACAATCCGAAGGTGACTGTTACCCAGGAAGCGAGGAACTGTATGAGCTGCCGAGAAGAGTCCGTAGTGTCTGTCGACAACACACTACAAAAGTCATTAGAAGAGTTTACGTCTTCAAAGAAGTCTTTATCTCCTGATCATAAGTTATGTCAGAAGCATTATAGAAAGACTACGCAAGTCTTGCTTTCAGGTCAGCTTGAAGTAAAACTTCATTTCAGATCAGATCCCAGTATCTAAGGCGACGCCTACGAGTTTGCTAAACGGAGTATTTTGGTGCTTGAAAATAGATTGTCTCGTGATCCTGAGTTGCACAAGATATACGCGGACTTCATTGAGGAGTACCTCTCCTTGGGTGACATGTCTCCCACAGACAACAAACACACTGCAAAGTCAACGCTTCGAAGGCTTGAGATATGTACCGATCACCTTCTCGCAACTTCTGTCACCGGCTCAAATATGACGATAGTGCGAATAGTATACTGGTCCAATACTGGTGTCGCTATCAACATTCGTTGCAAACCGAGTGATCAGGTAGCATGTGGAAACGAAACAGAACCCAGCAGACATTCTTTCTAGAGGTTGTAACGTGACTGAAATCGGGCTTTCGATCTGGTTTAGTGGACCAGTTTTTGAAAGAGGAAGAATATATAAACCGCTTCGAGCATTCCGAAGAATAGCTGGAAACCATGAAGACAGTGGTAAGAATGACCATGGCTGCTGAATCGAACGATTTAGTGGATGCAATCGAGGGATACTCGTTACACCTCAAACTGCTAAGAGTGTGCTTTCGTGTTCCCTTTCATCCGAAAATGAAAGACAGAAGTCTCGAGTTTGCGAATAAGCTTCAGGAACACGTTTGAATCTAGATCCGTAATTTTACCCACTGTGCGCTGGTGTATTGCTTACACTGTTCAAGACTTCCTTGGAAAAAGGTTACTATGAATTGCTATGTCCCAGAGATTTTCATTTTTGTCTCAACCTTAGTAACTACGCCAGTGCTGCAAACTTACAAAATTATTAAATTCAACTTTTTATAGTTGTTTAATATTTGGGTTTATAGATCAATTCAGTATCATGTAATTGCATTTATGTGGGGGAAATATTACTTTTTGTCATATATCAGCGGTTGTGTTTCACATATTAAGAAGTCAGGAGTATCCGTTTAAAATCAAACATCTTTCCGTGGCTAATGTTGATAGTTTTTTTTTGCACTTAGGCCTATCTTTGCGGACATTGACATTAAGAAACCGTCACAATGACGATTACTAAATTATTTAAATATGCTTAATTTTTAGTATTCTGGATTATTATAAAAATAAATTTAAAATAAGGTTCCTTAAACGGCATCAGCGGGGCTCTGAAACTCAGACAAAGCATGTATGGGGTTTTGAACTTTTTTCTGAGAGCCCTTTCGAACTTTTGCGCGAACCTCCTCGGGTTTCTCTGGTCTAACCAATGGTTTTTTCTCTGGTGCTTTCATTTTCCATACGACAATAGGAGACTAAACGAGACAATAGGAATCAAAATAAATACAGATGAAGTTCGTACTATTTCAGAAATACTTACTGATACAGTTCCTTGCCTCGTATATTTAGTTGAAGCTACATATGAGTACTTAACAGTAAGAACGACTGCATTCATAAGATTTTTAGCAGCTTGAATCAGCGATGTTGCGCTATCCAACTTGAAATTGAGAATACCATAAAAATATAATTAATTAATTTACAATACAAATATTTACTTACCCCAGAAACAATGAGCTCGCCGCTTATGTTTTGAACGTCTGCTTTGACTTTAGAAGTAATTTGGATTTGATGACAATAAAGAGCAATTCGTTGCAAATAGGCTAATAAATCCTTCTTTGTGCTACTTTCTGGACACTGCTCCGCTATCTCCCGAGTTAGCTTGTCTAGTTTTGTACCTGCTTCAGAAATTTTCTTGGCGGCATTGATAACATCCATAGTAGTCTTCAAGGGCCCTCGACCTCTGAAAAAAATAGTAAAATGAATATTCAGGCAGGCGTCTCCGGCTTTTACTTTTACAAAAATTGTCGATCTACTTTTTAAATCGAAAAGTAGCGCGCTCCACGTTATTACAAAACGCAAATGTTTCAGACATGTCTATTATCGACTCGGCTATTGATGCTGATCAACTTTCATACTTTATGGGGTTGGAAACATTCCCTCAGTTCGTTACATACATCCACTTTCGAGCACAAATACAATATATGTACCCTATTTACTTTTCGAGTACGGGGTATACAAATTCTAGATTTACATATCCTATTTTTAATTGTATTTTTTTTTTAGGTTTTCGATCAGCTCAATTTATCTCCAGACACGGTTTACTTTCAGTGCGATTTCCGAGAGTCGGTAGAAGAGAAAGAATCAAGTATATCGTCAGTATACGAGGCAAATATAATCGTTGAAAGCTTTGGTAAACATGTGTGGGACACAAATTTTGACTCGTAACAATATCATAATGTTCTAAATGTAATAGGCAATTTTTTCAAACCTTGTGAAGTCCGTCATTTCCATCATAATCATGCACATATGCTTGGCTAGAAAAATTATGTCGTTTCCAGTATCATCCCATTTTGCGACCTCAGAATCGAAAGTCATTTTCTCTCTACGAAATAGTTCAACTTGTTGGGCAATTTTTTGTTTGTCCTCCTCGGTCATTTTCCGCATAGCTTCCTGATAAAAATATTATGTTCCACAATCATATATCTGTTGGACTTTTATCGATTAATATTTGAACTCACTCTAGCAGTACAAATACCACTAATGTCTGGGTATTCGTCGACAGTCTGGTCACCAGTATGGGCACTTGCTGATAGATAAATCAAGCGTTAAGATCTTTATGATATCAAATCGGATTTGAAAACTCTTACATCGGCTACGTGTTTCTAAGGTTAGGTCTTCTACAGGCTCAAATTCTGTATCTGTGTCCAGGTCCTCGGAACTCTGCAATTAAATAAATAATATTACGTTTTTGAATCACTGTTTATAA